ACATTATTCTACTTTGAGAGCTTAAGTACTGCTTGTCCATCCGGTCAGTTGAGTTAAAAGGGTCCTTTTTGTTTCAGGGGTTAGGTGTAGTTAAACCACGGTGAAAACCATGAGAATAGGCTAGATTTGAGGACAGAAGGAGGGGAAGGTTTGGACAGCTTTGTATCTGTGACCTTGTTTTTCTTTCTATAGACAATAGAAAGAGTTGGTATAAGGAGTACTGAATGTTACTAGAGGATAAAGAAAAAAACAGGAACAAATAAGTCCATATCATAAGAACCCACAAGGATATTAACAACACGAGAAATAAGAGAAAAAGCACAATAAAAGAGAATGGATGGTTTCCAAACATGAATGAAGGATGGAATAGAAAAAGGGGAGGGGAGCATACTATTATAAGAATGACAAAGAAGGGAGGGAGAGAGAATGAAAGGATGGATGAATTCATGGATTATAAATGGCTTGTCCTGAATGTGTCAGCAGTGTTTCCTCTTCGTAGTCCAATGGAGGAACCTGCTAAATCAATCGGAAGCTTTCTGCTCACACAGTGGACGCCCCGAGTCATGATCACTGTAATTTCTTCTCATGCTGGTACTATATTCGTAGCTTTGGGCAAATCTCATCTCTTTCCTGTCATGTTTCCCTTGCTGTCTTAAGTCTGCTGTATCTTTGTGGAAAAGGTAGATTGGTTGGTGCTAATTTCACCAAAAGAGAAAATGTGTAGGCTAGGCGCATTTAGAGAAATACATTTTTGCATGTTTAAATCTAACAATTAAATTAAATTACATTCTCTTTCATTCAAACTAATAATCTAGTGATTAACAAAAAGCCATTAACACTAGTAACACATAAGACACCTAATAATAATTTAGAAAATCCTAAACAGTTTTTCTCTTACCAGAATTTTACCTAACACTACAATTTTACCCAACACAATGTTTTCAGAGTTTGACATCCAAACAGGGTTTTATAGTTTATATATGAACACATATGAGGCAGCAACATTCCTATTACAGAAGTTTTGGAAACTGTATATCTTGTAGAGGCAGAGGGCTCAAGCATGCTGCGGTCTGGGGTTCAAGTTGTGACCCTGAGCCCCATTGCTGCATGTTCTCTCCTTCTCTCTGTGTTAATGTCACATCTCTGCCTGCTACAAAGGCCACTATTACCTTTTAGAATCAAACACTGACAGACATTGTTCTGTCTTGAAACAAAAATATGCATTGCTTGTATTATTTTTAAATTCTTAAACTAAAACTGCAGTTGCTAATTAGGCATGAATGTACATATTTAAAATCTATCCAAATTTTTAAACATTTAATCAAATATTATTTTGCAGGATCAACAGTTAAACTGTAAGACCTAGATATATTCCTAAGTCCTTAATTAAAAGGCCTATAGGGCCGTACCTATAGGGCTCAAGAAAAGGCCAATGAAACCTGAGGCTGCTGCTGCACTGTAAAAACAATCTAGAAATAAGTAAAATTTCTTAAATTAAGTGTATTTACTCTTAATTTGAGTGGGTAAATGAAATGCTTTACCAATGGAATTAGTATTTTTACTCTTAAAAGAATATATTTAGATAAACTGCACTTGAAATAAGACAATGCAATTGTGTTTTCTTATTCTAAATGTAAATTGTCTTGTTCCATTGGCAAAATGTCTCTTTTACCTGCTCAATCCAAGAACAAATGCACTTATTTTAGGAAAAAATAACTTATCTAGATTTCAATTTTTTCCAGTGTGCTGTTTAATGTTTGTATTTTATGTTTAATGTAGGTCACTTCTTTGCTCACTCAATCTACCTGTCTTTGCTGTCCAAAATGTGCCCATTACTGTATTAAGTTGAGTGTCACATGTCCTTAAGATGTACATTAAATGCTGAGGAGTTAGTTTTGTGTTGGGTCAGCTGCTGTTTAGTAGAGAATCCCTCACTGTACTCGACTGCATGTACAGTAACTCACCGCTGAGCTTGTGTTTTTTGTGCTTAATTGTTATAGATTAATAATTTTTTTTCCACAAGGGTTTTATTTGGTTTAAAGTGAATAACAAAATAGCTAACTAACTGTATACGTTGCTGTATGACATCTATGTTGTATCATTTCATTTTTACTATTTTTCATCATATAAAATCCCCAAAACCAATGTATCATTCCCAAAAAAAATTTGTTTTAAGCGGGTAGCATTAAGATTAATCAGCAATTATAGGAAAATCAGCAGCTACAGACTTGCAGATATGCCTACATAAACACCTACCTGCTGAGAGAGAAATTGGATTAGTCCTAAATTAGTATTGTAAGGGGATATCATCCCAAACATTAGAACTTCTCAATGACATTTTAATATGAATCTTACATACATTTTACTAAACTGTATTTTTATTGGCCCATGAAAAGTTAGTTAATTAATTTCTGTTTTGGGGGGATTAAAGTATTTATTTATTAATTGTTTTTTACAGAGAAAATCATCTTTGCAAATGATAAGGAAGAGAGTCACCAAAGCCTGAGAAATATTCAGAAACTGTTGCACTTAACTATTTCTGCTTCTTGTCTTCTGGGTTTATTGTCTGAGTTTTTTTTATTTATTTTCCTTAAGAGTTTATTAATTTGCAGAGCATACAGTCTAAACTGTTTTATTGTAGTAAGGTTTTCAGTTGTCAGGGGACAGACACAAAAACATAATGGAAAACTGGAGTGAATAAACAAATGTATGCTCATCTCATCTTCAGTGACATCGTGACAGATTCAGAAAAATCCCATCAGATTCTGTCTACCAAGGATTAATTATATGAAGTTTAGAAAGCTGCATATAAAATATCTTAAACAAATCACAGATCAATCCATCAAAGTTATTTTGTGCCAACAGAGTATTTCACCACATCACTTTCAAATATTTCTGTTTTTATTCTAAAATACTGGAATTAAGCTGAATTCAGGCCTGCTTTCTAATCTAATCTGCAATACACTATTGCTGCACTTACTCCAGCCAATAATGGCAGATCGTTGAAAATCAGAAGTAAAAAATTTAGAGATGTCTTAAAACGTATTACTGACACACACCTGAGTGAATTCTCTGCATGTTAAGAGCTTGTTCAGCTGTTGTGAAGCCAAAGCCAGTTTAATAACAGACAGTTAGTCACGCCAAAACTCCTCCGCCTAACTCTATTCTGTCTTGCATTAGCCGAGATATCTCACTTAGAAAGATCACCATATAATGGGTTATAACATAATGGGCTGAAACGGAGAGGGGAAATAATGCTGTGGTGCCGCATTTCTAAACGTAAGCTGAGGTTCCCAGGAGAAGAATCCTGTGTTACGGTTCCTACTGCAGAAAATATTAGAAAACATTTTTACTGCTTTAATAACTAAAAAAAGAATGTTCATTTGTAAACAATAAAGAAGAAATCATAGCCAGGCTGTGGTGCTTCAGGGCTAACTAATTTACCGTCCCCAAAGTTTTAAGACTAGAGTTAAAAGATACAGCATATTAAAAAGTAGTTTACTGCACAGAAAACATTCGTCTGGAAAAAATGGGTATTAATACAGGTAAGTATCAGGTCAAGCTGGCTTGGACAAACCACAAAAAAACAATGTTTCTTGTTTGCAATATGGCAAAACACATTTTGAGATTTTCTAGCTTCTTGTAGATGTAAACATAGATATATCTGTTGATGACTGGGTATGCACAAAATTACACACAACTCAGACTATTCTTTCTGGTCCCAATAGCTGTTGCCATTTTTTAGTTCTTATTCATTTATTTATTTTTTCATGTGCACTAAAACTTGGTTAAACAAATTTACTATCACAACAAAAGAACACAAAACTCATATCTGGCTCAAATTTATTTGATGTATCCTATTGCGAGATATTACAAGCTTGATTGGTATTTACAATACATATAAATAAAGATCAGTTTTATATTTATTCCATTACAAAGAAAGAGGATGGATGGATGGATGGATGGATGGATGGATGGATGGATGGATGGATGGATGGATGGATGGATGGATGGATGGATGGATGGATGGATGGATGGATGGATGGATGGATGGATGGATGGATGGATGGATGGATGGATGGATGGATGGATGGATGGATGATTATGACTCAACAGGAATATTTTTTCTGACTGTGCAGGGACTGTGTAAATTCAAGAAATTCCAAGGTTCCTTTTTTTTTTTACCATAATAAAGGATTCAGAAATAAATTATTTTGAAATTATGAAAATTGTTCTTTTAAATATAGAAACGTGTTAATAATGAGTGAACAACCATTTAATTACAACAAAAAGTTTTTAGGGGATTTCAGACTGTTACAGGTAAAAGCATATTAACCTTTTTTAATGGAATGGAAGTAATGAGAATATTACCTACTGACATAAATAAGAGTTGGTTATTGCGGAAACACAAATGATTAGCAATAATACAAGAGAGAGAAAAATCCCATTCACCTTATAATCCTTACTTATTTAGTTTTGAGTTGTGTTCCAAAATATACATTCAGTTCTGTTTCTGCACCACGCTCTGTAATCTTTTTGTACATATTGCATTAATCCTACTAATTATATGCTTCATTAAACATGTAGTAAAACTCATTAATGCTCAGACTGTTTTCTAATGTGAGAACATTTATCAAAGAAACCTCTGACATGTGTCTTTATGGGGGCTAACATTCAGGGAAAGGTCACTTTATTTTAGATTATCATCAGCATCATCCTCAAGATCAAATCATATTCAGCAGCACACTGGCAGGAAGAAGGCACATTACCTTGACCACCAAAACAAGCACTCAGGATACTGTGTGGATACCAAGGAATGTAGCCAACTAGCATCATGATAGCTATAGATCTAAAATATGTTGATGGAAAAGCTTTTTTGCCATTATATTGGGGCTTAAGGTGCATTTACAGGGATTTATGCTCAAAAAATATAGAGGGAAATAGGGTTTAACATATAACTTAAGTCAGTCTATAACAACTTGGGCAATGTGCAGAATTACCTTTGTTCATCACTGCAAAGCGCAAACAAAAGAGATCAAGAGATGTATGACCAAAAACATTAAACAGAAAGCAGAATTTTTACATTGATGCAAAAAAATTGTTCAAACCACTTTTTAATAAAATAAATACAAACCTTCCACCTGTGACAGTCTTTGCTAAAATGCATTTGAAGATGTTAGTAAGAATGCAGAAGCAAGATGAGTTTTTAGAGGAAACTTTGGCTACATTCCTGCCTTATCCGACTGAGTCTTGGTGGCAACTCCTACCTTTAAAATTCGGTCGGATTCTGGCATCGTAACCTGAGACCTTTCCCATAAGCTTGTCCAGAAACTCAGACGGTGGCATCGGAGTGGCAGCTTTCCTTGCCGCAGCTTCTTTTGATGCCGCTAAGCTGGAAAAAAAAAAAAAGAGAGATTAATTGGATTAGAAACAGAATGCTGCACAGTTGGAGATGTCAGGAGAAAAATACATTAAGAAAAATATATCTAATTTGTGTTCAATTGAGCATGGAGTTATTAACACCCAAAGTACTCTGAGTAGGAGTTAAGTTTTAATGTAAATTATCTCGAGTTAGAAATCTGAATCAGGATGCCATAAAGTGTGGGCCTGTCAATAATAACTTACTGCACTTCTTAAGCTGATACTGCAATTAGATTTCTCATAATAAATTAGACTTTTCTATCCTATGTACAATATATATATATATATATATATATATATATATATATATATATATATATAAAATTGTATTTAATCGAATCGCTGTTTCTTTTATGGTACTCACATTTTATCTTCTAATCCAAGAAAATGTTAAATCAAAAATGTATTTAATGATATCCATTCATCAATAATCCTTGCATGCCTAATCCTAGCCCCTGAGGTGGCCCTACCCATTTGTCCATTTTCTCCAAAGAAAGGCCCTAACATCTGAGTTTTATTACAATACAGTACGTATATAATTAAGCATTCTAAAACAGCTTAAATAAATACCTCCTGACAGATTTCTTATTATTCTGCTTAAACAAAAACATTTCGTGGAGTAAACAGTACCAGCCTACAAAAGTGACATTTTTTAGGGAGAAAACATACAGCATTAATGCCTTTAAGTATACAAATGATCACACATTAAATATTGTTTTTTAACGATTAAGGCAAATGTGTTATGGTTTGACAGGCAGATCAAATTAAAATTTCTAAATTATTCTATGTTTGATCATTAGAGTTAGATTTTCCTATTGAATACTACATTAAGTTCATTGAGGAAAGGGATGCAATTAGGAAATCCATGCAGTCTTAAGCTGAATATAAAACAAGAATCTAAAGTATATTTGCAAAAATATTCTTGCTAGTTCTATTTCATTAACTCAAAAGAAAACTCAAGAGACTTATTTTTCCTTCAGTAAACTAAAAAGTTTCATTTATTTAGCTGACTTTGTCAACAGCTAAATCCCACATTGATTTCTGTAACAAACTGATCTTTTTTTGTTTAAAATGTCTATCATTAAGCTCACTGGATCCATTAGATACCCCTTTAATATTAATGTCAAATCTCTGTACATGGTTAATCTCATAGAAAGGGGATAGCCTTCTGTGAATAACCCAATACAATAAATATAAACCTTTTTAATTTTCAGTTTCACTGCATCTTCTTTTGTTGAACTTAAAGAATTACCACCCAGGATTGTGATATGGACTAATAATAACATTCTGTACTGACCCATTTCCTGTGATGAGACTAGAACAGAGATGTCCAAAGTGCAGCCTGTAGGCCATTTGTGGTCCTCTGCATAATTTTGTGCAGCCTGCAACCGCCATTCAAAAATGGCGAGCACAGATTGACACCTTAACATCTCTCAAAATGATAAAGGTGTAGCAGACCAAACATGGCAAGAAAACCCATATCCTGTTATTCTTATAAGGCATAAATATTTTTTTAATGAGGTAAATGTGTCTGTAAAGGCAACATTACCCATATGTAATTTATTTACAATATGTAGGCCTAGATGCCATACTAACACCTGAATCAATCATGTTATCCTGTAATGACCTACAGTTATTCCACTAACATTTTACGAAAATCAGAAGAAAATATACAGCCTAAAGCAATGCTGGGAGTGTGACTGAAGTTAAATGTAAAAAGGGTGATTATGTAGGCATTAGTTGTAACTCCTGATGAGTCTGGGGGAGGAGAGCACAACCACCACATTAATCTCTCATAAATTAAAATGACACTTGATACAGTCGATTGCGCTTAAATTTTCACCTTCTAAATGTAAAACTGCAAAGCGTGACTTTCAATATGGTAAATCATGTCGTACGGCATGATAAATGGCTCCATTAGCAATTCATAAACATGCAACACAGTCAGTGCTGTCGCTTTATCAGGAAGCTGCTGATCAGTATCACAGTTTGCTTGGAGAAAATAAGGAATATGGAGGTGGCATGATTGGAAAACAAAACAAACCAGCGACCAATCCCTTCTTAGTCTTGGCACTAAAGGGCATCTGTGTGCACAAAGCAACTAAACACACTCGGACTAGCAAACAAAAACAGTAATAATGTGTACACACAATATTTACACATTTGTATGCACATGTAAATATGTAAACACTCAATATGATTTTTTCTTTTTTTACAAACTTCCCCTTATCAGTTAAAACACTTACAAATATTGGACATTAAGTATGTGTGTGTGTGTGTAGAAGAGGAGCTGTGTATTAGGTTCTTCTGTCAAAGTTGTTGCAGGCAAACTGGTGGGGTTGTCACCTTATGAATCCTCTAAGGTTGAGGCCATGATTCTCATATAGAAGAAGGTAAAAGATAAGAAGAAAGTTCTTTACTTATGTATTCATTTAAATCTAAACCCTCATCTTTCTTTATGAGATATAGAAGAGCTGAGTTCCACCCATCAAATGAACTAGGGACTGTTACCTTGGTGTCGGTTTTTCTTCTTGACTTTCACAGCCCAATTTCAGATAAGTGGAAGACTTTTGGGTAGATCATAATATATCTCTTCACTTTCTTCCTTTTTATTTTTGCACCAGAACTTCGTTTGGATTAAAAAGAAGTCTCCAGAAACCCGATTCAGTCAGCCAACATCTAATCAAACAGTGTTTCTACCCTTTAATTACCTAAACACATGCTGCAAATATTAACGATAAGAAGTAACAGATTGATAGATCTTTGTTTTATGATACTCTGGAATTCTATCTGTCTGCCCATGCAGCTACACAACCAGCAAAGGAAACTACATATCCATCTCCTTGGCAAAGATTTTCTGCTAAGCACAAACCGTGCACCTCAAGAAATTAAGGCCTGGGCAACTGATTATTGACCAGCTGTGCACATAAAACCTTAAATATGACTAAACAGGGATTTGGTTTTTTCGTACTTGCATGGTCGAAATGCCCATGAAAAATTGGTTTTATCATCAGATCGTTAATATTATAAGGAGGTACATGTACCACAGGATGGCACATACCCATCCCGAGAGAGAACGGCTATTAAACGTGTGCGAGAGCATTCACAAGCCCATTTCTCCAAGTGCACACTCTATTAAAAAGTTGCTCTTTGCATCACTCATACAAGCTTACTTTCCAAAAGAAGATTTGCAATTTTTCCACTATGCCTGACTCACCACCGATAAGTGAAAATGGGGATGAGCAAGTAGGACGGCCTTACTTAAAAATAACACCAAGATGATTGACAAATAGGTAGACCACTTATTTTGATGAGCCACCCAGAACAAGATCATCCTCCACTTTACCTTTTAAGTGTCAAAAAAATATCTCTTATCATGTTGCTCAAAGATGCCTAAACCAAACAAGATAGGTTGATGTTACTGATATCAAATTCTGCACCTTTCATCTGAATACTACACTGTATGAAAATTAAATAAGCAACTTAAACAGACTGGTGAGTATATTTTATATCTAAAAAGTACTGTGAAAAATGTCCAATGGTGCAATCATGAAATATCTTTTTTTTCTTTTCTTTTTTATAAAAAAAGGAAATCTAATGACTGGTATTAAAACATTTATAACTTAACGACTGTATTGCTTATGCAACTGATGTGACTGTAATCCAGCTTGAATCAAATGATGTCTCACCATGTGTCCACAGCTGAATGATGATGGTGGGCCCTCTCTGTGCATCTCTGCTGTTAAATGATGACAGTGATGCTGATGATGTTTCATAGTGATAAATCAAAACACAGATAATTACATAAGATGCTTTCTGACTTATGATGTTGATGATCAAACTGAAAAGTTTAAGTGAACATCACATCAAGAACGCATTCCTGACTTTGTGATGAATGCTACAGTGATGGCTGTAATTTTATTAAGTTAGCATATCAACATGATACTGTAAACTATTTTTTTCTCTCTCATTAGTTCTTTAGCTCTGTAATAAAATAAGTATTTTAAGACTTAACTCACTTCACCCTTAGAGAAGCTGAGTTAACAGTGAACTTAATTCTTTTATGGATTTGTCCCAGCTATAGTGAAATGCACACACAAATGTTGATGAAGGAATACTTTGGAAGACACACAGAGTGTGAAGCACTCTTAAAGATTTAAACATCTTAACCTCTGACCTTTACCTGCAAACCTCTGGACTGAAAAGCCAACAGCTTTTTAAATACCAGTGTACAGATCTAACATGCATCTCATATCATAATTTTATTAAACAAAAACAAAGGATCTGAATGGTACCACTTCAGGAAATATGGTAAAATTCAGAAAGCAGATTCTGGAACTGCTGTAGACATGTCGCTAATGATATCAAGGAGATGCACTTAATTTTCAGGTGAAAGGGCCAGACTCTGGAAAAGCATATTTTGGTTTCCGATTTCCCAGTATAATGTAAAGCTGAAAAACAGGTAAAATCTGCACAAAATGTCTAAACCTAAACCCAGGCTTGGAATGGGAATGATTCCCCCCGAATAAAAACAATTGAAGCACAGTCAAACACATGCGTCTCAAATGTGAAACACAACACAAATACACATTGTGGATTAACCGATCTACAACGTAAGCCCGAGTGTTGTAAAAACACCAACATAAAACAATGTAATATAGAGGAAGACAGACAGTTCTTCATGAAAGCTCAGAGGTGTGTAAGCATTCATTGCGAGTCCAGGTGGCATGTGGGCAATGAAATGGAACAATGTAAACACCATGGTTCCATCAGTCAACAGACTGAAATCAACGAAACCAGCAGTCCTATTGATACTACTACTATTAAGAGTAGTAGTGGTTAAGTGGGGAATTGTACACCGTGACACACAGCCGTCAGTCAGTTGAATGCTTTACAAAGCCTTCACACTAGGTTACAAGCATCACATGACTCTTCCATCTTGCACTGAAATACCGTTTACAGTGATATTTC